CTTATTAACTATATATTTCAAGTAATTTACTAAACATAACCTAAATAAATAATTGAATAAAAGTATTTAAAACATTATTAATCATTTAAATTCATAAAGAAAAGTGGGAATGAAAATGAGAATGAGAATGTGAAAGAGATGGGATCTTCACACCCACGTGCTGCTTTTCTCCTAATCATTCACCCAACAAATATTCCTTCCAATCCAACTTTTAACTAATTAATTAATTCCTATCATTACTTATTATCATCTTCATTTAATTAGCCAATTTTTGTTTCATGCAATGCCATTGCCGGCCGGCTTCTTCTAAATGCGTCACTACATGACGGAGACAATGGTATTATGGTAAACACATCTGTGTGTCGTTGCCAGATTTTTGTTGTCGAATCTGACGTCTTATAGAAAAAGAACGGATGTGGTTTAGGGTTTTCAAATTATGAGGGAGAGAGGGAGAGTGTAACATTAAATATAATAGTGTTTTTTTTACAAAATTACCAAATCACGATTCTGTGATAAGTAAATCATTAAACAATTAATTTAAAATGAGTAACTTACATAAGACCTCACTAATCTCACAATTAATAATATAATTTTTTTATAAAAATAATAATTAATTATTTTGTTAGAACTCGATAATATCTTAATTATTTTTTAGATTTTAAAATGAAGTATTTATCTTCTATTTGATTATGTTTATCTGCAGCTAGTTACACGAATTCAAACATGAATTTTTAATAAGTTGTATTTATGCATAATTTATTTGTAATATTGAATTTTAAGTAATATAGATTAATATACAGTACTTCATGCATAAAAAATTGTTTTTAATAATTTTTATCAAATGCTTTATAATATAGTATAGATTCACAAATATTCTTTTATGTCATAATATTATTGTTATTAAGTCTTATTTTATTCATACCCAAAATAATTTATTAAAATATACATCAAATCGCATATTATATACTCTTTTCTTGAAATTTGAATGCTACTCAAAATAAATCGACACAAGCACACCACCTAGCGACCTAGGCTATGCTAGCCATGATCGCATATGAAATTTCAGCTTAGATACAAAAGTATTCACGATGTAGCCACACAATGTCAACATATCGCTTTTGAAGGATCCGGAAGGCAAAAAAATACTTGGTCACGATCACATACACGACCCTAAACTGTGTTCACAAATCACATAGGATAGCAATACCTTGAATAAAGATAGCATGCATCTTAATTATTTCATTGTAAGTGATAAACATGTGAAGCTCGTTACTTTTGTAAGGTGGACCATAACAATTGGCATGGTGCGAGGCACACATTCGACGCCCTGTTAACCCCCGTGGTGGCTATGAAAAGCAAGGTGCATGCCATGGCATCTTGATACGCTCATGCGCATTATGGTATGTGTTCTTTTAACACATGATTTTACTTTTTAAATTTTTTTTCACAATAGTTTGTTTTACTTTTTTTTTTCTGCGTTGTTATGAGCTTTTTCATAAAACATTTTATAAAATACATGTCTCAAACAGTCTTACAAACACAGTCTTGTTTTACATGATCTCAAGTCTACATATTAATATCAAATTAAATAAAATACATATTACAAGTATTGTAGTCCAAGCTGGAAAATTAAATAAGATATGTATTGCAATTATCATGTACTCCATGACAAAAAAAAAACACAAAAAATGGAAACAGAAAATTTTCTTGACTTGTTTAATATCTTTTACCACTTTGAAAACGACTAGTCTTATTTTTGTAAACAAAACAAAAAAAAACACTATATTAAATCAATCAAATGTTATAAATCAACAACCACATATTATTAACCATTTGTTTATTTAATATGTTTAAACATTTGAAGATGTGTGTAAAAGTATTGATCTTCTTTTAAACAACGTAAAACAAATATTAAACCAGTAGGATAAGGTACAAATAAAATTTGATACAGTAATTTTGTTATCAACTATAGAAAAACTACATGTTTATGTTTGTGCATGCGACATCAGGTCGCTTACAATTACGTGGGAAGTGAACTCGTGATATAAAAGGTGTGAGTTGCATCCGAGTTACGTGCATAAAGAGATAGGGGTAAGTAACATATGTTTATGTGCACAACTTGAAGCTAATCATTTGGATAAATAGCATAAATCATCAGAAGACCAGAGAAATTGCACGCAAAACACAACCAAAGAGTTTTAATGTGCATGACTCCCACTTTGTTTGCCCTATCGTTCTACTTCATTCATGTTCTTTAAAAATGATTTTTTTTGTTGCTAAATGATTCAATATACAAAGCCTCCTTCTCTATGTGTAGATGTACACTATTTCGTATTTACGTTGATAGTTAAACTCAATGTTCTAAAAAACACGTTATGGCACCGAGGCGCTACCTTGCCGCCACGTTAACTCCCTTGGCATGGATATAAGGCGTGGAGCTCGTTATGGCTTGTTACAGCACGCCATAATGCATTATGGCTTGATATGGCGTTACAAGGGATATAGCGTTATAAGGCGTAGGGAGAAATTTGAATGAGATTAAATGTAAATATAACTTTATAGTTTATATGGATCAAATACTTTGTATATTTGATATTATTTTTGTAAACTCTGTATATTTTGATGTCAAATTTATCAATAAAACAAAAACAAAACCACGAAACAAGGAAGGGTTTAAAGCCTCGATCATGGGATTATGATTTTCTGTTTTTAATGATTTCGAAATTAACAAAAAAAAATTCTATCTTTGCGATTATATGAATTCGTGTGCGGTTTTTTTAAGAGTACTTTAATGCATGGCTGTAGGATGGATTTGAAGCTTTCATGTATTTCTTTAAAATTAATATATTAAAGATTAGGTTTGTCCATCGGTTGACATCCATTGGATGTGAGGAAAAACCGAATTGATACAATCATCCATAGGATGTTGGATTTTGCCAACCGATCAAATCCGATTAACATTGGATAACCGATCCAAATCAAATTCAATGGATGAATGGATCGATTCAGTTTCATCCGTTGGATGCTTTTATTGGATATTCAATGGATGATCCGATGGGATCGGATGCATCCAGTGTGTTAATTCAATCCAATTATCTAATAATGATACAAATTAATTAATTATTTTCAATATGTGTTAAAACCAACACAAGGGAAGTAAAAAATTCAAAGCCTCACATAAAACAAATTTCAATTTCAGCGATTTGAAAAATAAATTAATTGGATGATAGTTGGATAAAGAAAATCGATTATGCGATGATACACATAATCGATCTCTTATTAGGTTATTAAAAATTTCTAGAGGAATGGGTCATGGAAGACTACGAGAAGAGAACCTGAAATGAAAAGTCAGATAGTGAAAGATGAACAAGAAGCCACAACTCAGGGCTCATTCATGCTTTGCCAATGACTGATGTTATTTTACTTAATATCCCAAGTTAGAGAGTAAGATCACAACTTTTCCTCCATTTAAGTGGTTCTCGCTTTTTCTTATTCTTGTTCTTAACTCCTCCACGGGGTAGTTCCCAATGTTTGGCACTTTCCATACTTGATGGGTGCAACATCAACAAATTCGCTCATGATCAAGTTACAACTTAAGATCTATATTATGTTAACTGTTCGTATTTCGCTCATTCCATCGGTATGCTCCCAAGTACTGTAATTGTGATCCGTTTGCCAGAACCAAGGGGTCTTTCTATGGAAACCTCCACGAACAATTGTCGTTTTTTGATGGGTTTCCCGCTTATGATTGAATGGACAACTGGATGGTATGTTGATCGGTTCGGTTCGACTCGGTTTTGGTCGGTTCTAGGCTGCCATCCGAGAACCGGCCGATCCAAATTAGATGTTGAAAATGTCAATTCGATCCGAACCAATTACAATTGGGTATCCAATTATGGTCAGTCGGTTCTAATTCGATTAGTCGGTTCCAATTGGATCGGTTAATTTCCTGCACACCCCTAATGAAGATGATAATCTCCATAATTAATACTCTCCACAATAAAAATGATTAATCAATCCCTCATAATTACAAAAAAATGAAAAATTATGATTGGTTGAATGAAGTTTGTACGGTTTGTACAAATAACATGGTTTGCAAAGTAAACCTTATATATATATTATATACAGATTTACCGCTTTAAACCACGTCTTAAAAGACGTCATGGCTTCCTCATCGTAATACCTGAATTTTACATTAAAAATTGCATCCTATTATTGTTTTATTATCCTTAGTGCCTCACTCTCTTAATTATATTGGCTGTTTCATAACATCATTGTGCAACTAGTGTTATATGGGTTTCTCGTCCAGCATTTTACACAGAATTAGGGGTTGGTTTATCAAACGTATATATTAGACTTGTCTTATCGAATAAATATGACAAAGATAAGAAATTTTACCCGATAAGAAGCAGTTAGTTGAGATATACATTTATCAACGATTCAATTTTATGGTAAAAAATGTTATCAAATAAGATAAGGATGGGGTTTCCAACGGGTAACCACGTAAGAATTTGGTTAATAATCATTTTTTTTATTAACCTGGACATTCAACCTGCTATGCGAGCCGATTAATCCCAGAGCGACTATCTGTTTTGTAGATAGCCCGGAGTCATCGCATTTGAACATCCGTGGCCATAAGAGGATTTTTATTTTTTCTTAAATTTTTACCTTGATCTGTAGAGCCAAACTCAAACCAATCGTTTACCAACTTTGTGGTTGTTAATAATCATTTAGTTATGCATAGTTTAGTTGCATTAACCAACAACTCAGTTACAAACGTTATTAGATACTAATTGAGAAGGTTAGCACCTAGAAATCTAATTTATTATGTAAAATTCAAATTGCTAGACATCGACCTAGATGACATGTACTTAAAACACATTCTCTCTCTCTCTCTCTCTTTCTCTCAACCACGGAGAGAATCCACATGAGAGTCAGCATATGCTTTCCGGCATTCAAACACGTGTTCGTAGCTTACACGGCAAGGCGTCAGTTGTATTCTTAACTTGTCCATTCACCTGCAACTCCCAACTCCGGCATCTGCAAAACCACCACCCCTTCCATTCCTGATTCCTCCTCTCCATTGCGTAAACGGTGTACTCCTTTTTAAATAAATTATCAATTTAAATGTGCTGTGCATGCCTAGTTTATTTCACTAATAATCTCGATTAATTCCAGTTTACATTCAACAGGAAGAGATCACGGTAAAATTACGCAAAAGTAATTAAAAATTAAATAAAATCTAAGCGACTACCTACCAATTAACCACGCCAAATCATATTTTTTACTGCTCTTCCTTCTTCGTTTTAGGTTCGGGACTGTCGGTAACCAGAAAATTTTCTTCAATTCCAGTCGGTCTCCGACCGTACTTCAGGACGCACAGTGACATATACCATCATAAATCAGATCTTGAGTGGAGGAATTTAAAATTAGAATTAAACCTAACTAGCTTAATTGCTAGTTGTGAACATAGATCTTAAGTTAGAAATAAAAACTGTAATCTTCGACCTTTGTTTCTGAATTTTGGAGAAATAATTCTTCAAAACAGTCGTGTTTTATTATTCATTGATCATCTTCATCTTCATTTTTGTGGCTTTAGTTGAATCCACTCGAACCGACCTTTCAAAGGAATATCATTTACAATGTCGTAATTATACCTGCAAATGACAGCATTTCAGCTAATTGTATTTGATTTTCTTGGAGTAAATAGCTTAATTATATTTTACTCACTTATCTCTAAAACGTTTGTGGAGGTCTTTCTGTGCAGCCGCAAAAAATTCTTCGAGTTCTGCTGCAGGTGGCATCTTCTCGGCCGGCAGCACTGTACGGCGAGAATTAATCATTACCGACGACGACTGCTTTACTGTAGTTGAGTCCAGTTCACCTAATTTCGCCTTAAACTCGCTCGACGGTATGCTGAAAGAACGAGCCATCAAAGTCAAAAGAAGAGAGAGGTGGGAGGAAGCGAGCCGAGCTAGTTTCAGGTTTAGATTGTTCCACGGGAAGTTATCACGGGCGACGTTTTGATTCACTTATATTCCTTTTTCAAAATTTGAAAGAATAAAAATGAAAGTAAAAGGTTGAAACATATATACATAAATGAGCACATTGAATAGTCATTAATTGAAAACCTTTCACTTCTGTCTAATTTATATCTCGCAACGGTTTCAATTTCAACATGACTTTCCTCCTGCAAAATCGAAACGGAAAAACAATCAATATTCGAAACTGTTAAATCAAATAAGAACTTGATGTGATGAATACAGACAGCAAAGATATGAGGATAACTAAACATGAGCGATTGAAACAGTCTAATTACTCAGAATAAAGAAGACTCTTCATACATTACCTCCAGATCTGAAACTTTCAGCTTCTCCGTTGATCCGGTACTAGAGCAACAAGACGCTGGAACGCCACTGGATCTAAGGCTTGCGGATGAATCTCCAGAATCATCTAGATCTTGTTCCGGTGCCGAGTTGACGTAATTCTCGCGAACAAAAGTATTAGTTTGCACAAACGTCGACGAAGGCGACCTCAATTTTCCATTACCGATCTTCCTTCTCTTCACTGCTCCCAAATTATCAGCGGCCTCCTCTCCCACAATCGGCATGGCCCGAGCTCTAGTCCTGACTCCTACCTGTGTAAACTCCATTACCACAACCACACCAACTGAAAATCCTACACTCCACTCCCGTACCTACTTACATTCCTCATTTTACGTATGATCCGCTGGTACGTCAGTTGTTCAATTTTAGAAGAAAATCACCTGTGGTTTTCCTGTTGTTTTCCTCTTGGGAGAATGGAGACGATGACGACGGCGACACGGCTAATGCCAGGGATTCCGTTAATTGATAGCTTCTTATCACTCGTGTGGTCCTCACTTTCACGCGCACACACACACCCTCTCCCTACCTCCGTCCCCCACACCTTCCGTTAATTGATATTCTTTATTTCACACTCATTCCAGATTCACATTTATGCTACCAAATTTAATTGAGATATGAGTTACGGTAAAAATATTCAGTTTTTTGGATGAGTTATCTTTTTAATTTAACTTTGTTTTCTTGGACAGTAAATTTAACTACCTTGATTACTTTCAACTACAATCAAATTTTTTTAATAAATTTTTTTAAAATCAATTTTATAATATTTATGTAGTTTTAATCACTTTCGAATTTGTTAAACTTTCAGTAATTATAATAAAAAAAAGTAAATAAAATGGTTTAATGTAGATAAAGGTGGTGGTGAATATGGTACGACGTTTTTTTCTTTCCTCAATACCGTGTAGCAACCAACTAAATTGGTATCAATTTTTCTCGATTGGTACACGTTGGTACGGTTTTATATCAAGATCTCAAAAGTTAAAAAGGTAAAATTTGAAATTCATTAACATAAGTAACTAAGGGGGTGTTTGGGATTGCTTATTTTTGTTGTTTTTTGACTTATTTCAGTCTGGTAATGGTGATAAGTTAAAAGCTAGTGTTTGGATGAAAAAAAATAAAACTGCTTATACCGGTGTCAAACCGGTAATAAGCAGTTTTTGATAAGTTAAACCTTCCCGACTTATGAAAAACTGCTTATTACCAGTTTACCATTTTAACGTTGTTTTATTAATGTTTGTTAATTATTAATCTTATTGATATAAATTTGTGTCAAGTATATTATTATAAATGATAAAAAATAAATTTTTACATGTTAAAAAATCAAATAAGTTAACAAGTCAATAATATGGAAGATTGTCCTTTTTGGCCATTTTACATATATAAGCAAAATTTACCAAACACTAAAACACAACTTATCAGCTTATTGCTTTTTGGTACTGCTATAAGTTAATCCAAACACTTTTTACAAAACTCCGGTTTGACACCACATAAGTTAATAAGCAYTTTTACAAAAAAAAAAAACATAAGTTGTTTTAAATAAGCAATCCCAAACACCCCCTAAATCAATAAGGTTACAAACTTAAAATGCCAACACACACAGATTGGTAGATTACATATATATATATATATATATATATATATATATATATATGTAGTTCCATATAGAAATAAGATAATATAATTAAATCACAGTCAAAAATCAAACCTCAAGAGTAGCGGTACCGAGGAATGAGGATCGAGATCGATTGCATATTTGTGTGGTCGTATATTCGTATAAAGGTGTGGACTGTGTGGTTGTATGGTTGTTGAACGATGAAAACTTGAAACGTGGATTCTTTATGAAGTTAGTATTATGATACGAACCAATTTAATCAGTACCAATTTAGTTGGTACCGATTAAATTGGTACGGTTAGCAATGCAATATTCTGTTCTCACCTTCTTATTATAATTTGTATTCTTAGGATAATCTATGTTATTTAAGTTAATATTATAATTAAATATATATTTTTATTCTTTAATTTAGTTTTAAGGTTTATACTAGTGTTGTATACTACTTACGTTTTAAGTTTCTGCTCGTCGTTAGATGGTGCCACGTGTTCACGTTCACCGGTGATAGCCGGTAAACATCCCAATGGAATGCGGGAGGATTCATGCCGTACCTGATGCCACTTATCGTGCGCTTATAGTCACACGTATACATTTTCATCGAATCTCATTTTGTTAGGATTTCGTTTTCAACAAGTTTTATTCTACAATTACCATATTGTCCCTGGGAAAACTTACTTTATCTACCAACTTTTTGCATAGTATCATGGGAAAAAGTCTACATGTAGTTGATTTTATCATAAATATATTAATTTGTTAAAAAAATATTATTATATTATAAAGTATTTGATAAAAAAGTTTAAAAATCATTTTTTATAAAATATTGTTTATTAATAGATATTAAATAATTCAAGATTACAAATAAATTTGTGTTAATATAACTTATTAAAACTTTATGTTTAAATTCATGTAACTAACTATAGATAACTAGTTGTGTACCCGTGCAATGCGACGGGATGTAAAAAACTCATTCAGATTTATTCAATTTTGAGAAATCAACTTCTATCTAGATGTAATAAATCCTACTGCAGTTGTACCTAATTTAGATTCAAATATACATCCATCCAAAATATTAATTTTAGTAACTTCTACAATTATTCATTAAAAAACAAATCTCTTATATAAATTGTGTATATAAACAAACCTTTTTGCTATTGTAAATATGGTTGTAATGAATAAGATTCAGAGTAACAACACAACCCTGCTCAACAATAAATCTTCTCATCAATCCTTTCTAAAGGCTAAATATCCAAAAAAAATTACAAGCATTGAAAGGGCCCTGTTTTAGATAAAACTTTTGGAGCACTCCTAATGCAATTCATTTTATATTCAAAATGATTAAAAATTACAAAATAATACATGACATAAAATTACAAAAAAAATTCGTCTACCCAAAATATATTTGCAGTAGACTTTCGAATGAGACTTAATTTGACCTCGTGTTACATCTTTCAAAACTCAATTAAAATGAGTAACATCCTATTACATTTCAAATGATTTCCAGATATTGTCTGAGCATGTGCATTCCCATAAGACATCATGAAGTAGTTGCCAAAGTTTTAAGTTGTAGAAAGAGCGAACAACTTATAAATGTGGACTGGAGTTCACAATTCTCAGTACCCTATAAACTTCAAATGGATCTGCAAGAGTTTACATATTAGAAACATGATGTTCATTATCTATTCCTATAGTCATCAACAAAGAAAGTGATGCTGTTAGCGACCAAAAACTCCAACAAACAAAAGTCACTTGAGTCATCCATCTAGGACAAATTTAGTTTAATTTCAATAGAAAAAATAAAAAAGAAAAGAAATATGCAATTGCGTACCTCCACTTTTGGCTATTTGAGTCATCTGTCAAGAATTCACCAAAGACCCAATACACCATGTCGCAATTCAATGAGAACTCGCTAGCAAAACCCTAGAGCCTACAGATTGGAAGAAATATGAAATAAGCACAAGAACAAAGACACACACAGTTAAGTAATTACTTCTTTATTCTTAATCTCACATGTTTGCTTGTCAGTAAATTTTTCAGAAAATATATCAAATGCAACTACAGTTTTGTACACCTCCGACTCTAGATGATACTTGTCAGGGCTGCCAACTTGAGTAGTGGATCTATATTGGACAATCACCAAAAGTAAAAGTAAGAGCATGTGAGTTACAACACATTTCCAATCTATTTAAGCCATCAAGCCTGAAAGGATAATAAGATCAACATATGCATCTAATGAATCCAATAAGTCGGTAACAATGGACAATATATGGATAAAAGATTCATATTTTTTAGCACAATACAAGAATCTACTCATTGGTAATTCGGCATGAGAAGCCATCAGACTGAAACCCAATTTCTAATAAGAAGCTAAATCAACTCTTTCTAAGTAAAGTTGCAGTTGTTTCTGAAAGAACCCTCACATGAATCAATCAACAACAAATATGATGGGAACTGATGAATATGATGGGAACCGAAGCGATCCAATCATCCATTGGATGTTGGATTTTTCTAAACGAACCAATCCAGTCCAATGGATGATTGGATCAGTTCGGTTCCATCTATTGGATATTCTTATTAGATATCCATTGGATTGGATAGATCCAACCAATATTAATCGGATTGGATAGATGTGACATCCAATGGACGATCTGATTGGATCCATCCAATGTTATAAATCCTATTTACAATAATTGCTATTTATATATTTCAAAATACTTAATTTCATCCATTCAATCACTAAAAACATACAATTACCATTGTAAAGTCTCACCCATACATATTGGGAAGTGGTAGATAGCAACATTAAGCTACTAAAATCCAAATAATAGAAATATTTCTCTGTCTTCAACCAACATTTCTACAACTTCAGTGCTTAGTTCATACTTCTAGAGCAATGACCCATCAATTGATGAATCCCGTATAGGGTGAATCCTAAATCAAATTATGAAGCATGAAAAAAAGGTATGATGGGAACCAAAACGAAGTAGTTGATTACATGAAGATGCCTTAAATGAAACAAGTAAAAAATCTTGCCGCAACCACTGGGACATAGCAGTTTCATATAGTAAATAAGGGCCTGCGGATGTGACAGAAATGATTTTTCGATCATCACCAAGACTACAAAACGTTCAAGGGAGCAAAGAGCCAGGGGAACATTTAGGACCCAAGGCGATATACTTGATAGTTAATAATGATAATACATTAAATGATAGTAAATGACTGATGAAACTATGATAGTTCTTTATAGTTAAATTAATAATGTGCCTATTTAAGTGATGCAAAATGCACATCTATGAAGTAATCCAGTACAACAACACAAGCATGAAACTTGTCATATGGAGATAATCAAACTTACAAAGGATTATATTACAGAGTTATCATTCTAGAAGCCTGTGCAAAGTAAAATGAAAGCAGGCCACTGAATCTCGCTTAACCTGTGCAAAGTTATCATATTAAACAGTTATCATTATAGTCTCCAAAGATGAAAGTAGATGTGGAGCATTAACTTAGTCAAATACAAATCAAAACCTAAAGTTCTACTCCTAATATTATACATGAAACAGTTTTCATAATAGATCTGAAAAAAGGTCGAAATGCGTCGATTAATATTGATTCTCAGTTTTCATAATCATCTTTCCTTCTATGTTCAGCCACCAAAATAAAAAAAGAAATTTATTGATTATGAACCCTAGCTCAATATAGCCCAAAATTAAAAGGAAGACTTATGATGATAGATGAAAATTCAAACCTGTTTTCGATGGAGAAGCAGATGGAAGCAGTTCGATCGAGAATAAGATGGAAGTCGTTTGATTGAGAAGAAGGTGGGAGCTGTAAATCGAGAAGTAGAATGGAGAAAGAATGGAAATTCGACTGGGAATCTGGGATTTGGGAGAAAGAATAGAGCGGGACCGGG